ATTTCTAATAAAATTAAGACTAGAATGTAAGACTATACGCACTAGTTTAATCAATTAAAAATATATTTTATCTTTGGATTTTTTTTAAAATGAATAATTACCAGAAAAAAATATTTAGTCACTCAAATTAGCCTTACTTCAAAAATCATGATATTTGAGATAGTTAATGTGGTATATACCATTTGGGGTAAATGAAGATCCAAGTCACATACTTAATATTATAGTTCCAAGAAGTTTAGACATATTACAAAACATTGAAGTAAGAAATTTTATATATATATATATATATATATATATATATATATTATTAAGAATTGTCATGAGTTTCAAAATCAAGATTTTTTAACCCTTTTTAATGTTGTCTACTCTAATTTTATAGATATCTTTTTAGTTCCTTCTTTGAATAAAAACTTTATAAGTAGTTATTGCTTTTCTCTCACATCTGAGATGGAACAATATATAATTATTTATTCTTTTTTGCATACAAAGAAAGGGGAGTTTGCTTACATTTTCTTGGTTGATTGATTTTATAATTTTTAATCATATGATTGATAGTACAAATGTTATATGTAATGTTCATAAGTATAAAGGTAAGGAACATATTTATATATCCAATATAGATTTTTCTTATCGGTATAATTAGAACTTTATGTTCTTCTTTTGACAATGTTTTTATGTCTTTAAATTTATTTATCAATTTAATTTTTTTTTTGTTAATTTATGGATAATAATTGTAAAATTTACTTTAATTGTAATAATTTATGATGCATGCTCAAAATGCTGGGGAAGTGATGGAAAATGGCTTAAAGTGGGATGTCTCCTTCCTATCTAGTTTTTCATTCATACTTTTGTTTTTTTAGGTTATACTAGTGTTGTAAATAATATTAATGCTTGGAATAAGAAATTAGAACATTTTTGTTTTGATTCGTCTTATAAAACATAGTTATTTGAGCAATATAATTTTTCTTTTCATGTTTACCATGTCGTGTTGTTATGAATTGTGTCAAATTAGTAAAAGAAAATCCTTGCCCTTTCCTTTTTTTGGTAGTCGGACTTTTACTTGTTTTGAGATTAATCATACTAATGTATAAGGTGCTAGTCATGTTATTTCAAATGCTTGGTATGATATTTTATGATATTTATTGATTATTATAATCATTTTATTTAGATATATGTTTTTCTTTCTAAAGTTAATATGTTATCTATCTTTTAGGATTTTCTTGTATTTATTTAAAATCATTTTTACTTGTTTTATAGCTGTATGATTTGATTATAGGGGTGAGGAATATATTTCTAAAGGTTTTCAATCTCTTTTAATATTCTAGTCTTTACACTTCTCAACAAAATAAAGTCATGAAGTATAAGAATTATCAACTTTAAGATGTTGTTTATTCCTTGTTAACTATGAAGCATGCTTTTTTACATGGTGATCTAAAAAAAAAAACATATGAATCTTCTACCTAGCATGGTCACTCATTCCTCTTTTGAGATTTGTCATTTAAAGTGGTCTCTATAAAGATTAAAAAAGACACCACGTGTTTGGTCTGAGAATTTTCATTCTACCCTTATTGATTTTAATTATATGCAGAGTTAATATGATTCTCTTTTTATTTGAATAACTGCTACTATGCTTACTATGTTTCTTTTATATTTGGATGATATTATTATTACAATATATAACTATCAGTTGATTGAGAAACTATAAACACTTCTTAATACTTCAACTGACACATCACTTTTACAATTATATGAAAGATTTTGGTTCCTATAATATTTTCTTAATCTTGAGGTATTTCAATATCTAACTGGCATAATTTTATATCAACACAAGTATACTTAAGATTTTCTCACCTTAGCTGATCTACAGTCCAACAACTTAGTCCTTCCACTATTGGAGCTCAACTTAAAGTCCAACAAGATAATAGTGTACTATTATCTGATCTTCTCACCTTAGCTGGTTTATAGTCCAACAACTTAGTTCTTACACTAATAAAGCTTGACTTGAAGTACAACAAGATAATGGTGTGCTATTATATGATCCCTCATTGTATAGAAAATTGATAGTGAGTTTGAACTATTTCATAATTATTTAGCTTTATATTGTTTTTTTATTTATTGTATAGCAGGTTAGTCAATTTATACAAGCTCTTTGTTATTCTTATTGACCATTATATGACGTATTCTTTGTTATCTTAAGGGTACTTCTAGTTGTGGGTTATTCTTTTTTACAAGGACTTCTTTATAATTGGTGGGTTTTATAGATGTAAATTGAGTTGGTTGTCCTGATACTTGTCATCCAGTTACTATTTAGTATATGTTTCTTAGAGACACTTTATTTTTTAGTAGAGTTAAAAGTGGAATAAAGTATCCAAATCCTTAACCAAGTCTAAATATCTTGTCATGTCATCTATATGCTTTGAGACTGTTTGGCTCTAAGGCTTATTAATATTCATCAACTTATTCCTACTTCTTTCATGTTGATAACACTAGTTCTATTAAAGTTGATGTCAATCAAATCTTTCATGATCATACTAGGAACATTAAAATAGATTGTCATTCATGAAGTACTTAATTAATATATATATATATATATATATGTGATTACTTTCCCTTACATTTCCATTGAGTTTTAGAGGGCTAATATGTTTACCAAGGCTCTATCTTGTCATCAACATCAATTCATGATTAATAAATTGATGCTTCTAGATCTATTAACATAAATTTAAAAAGAATTATCTACTATAATATCATGCCATAATATTATTGTTATAGGTAATTGCTTGATTTAAATATTTGATTACATGAAATAGTTAAACACAACATAGTTGGCAAACTCCACATTACACGCAGATAAAATTATTCTTAACATAAAAAAATATTCAAGCGCAACAAGCATGATTTCTAGTAACAAGAAATATTAATCATTATCTAAAAATGTGAGTTTTCATTTAGAAAAAAAACTAATAATGTTAACGTGAGTGTATTAAAAAGCATAAGAATAGTACAATGCTTGTGCATTATCATGGAAAAATTGCTCGACCTAAACCTTTGTTTAACTCAAGTTTCAAATCAAACCGTGTGGGGGTTGATTTAATATGACCTGATTGACTTGGTGAATTAAAAAACATAGTTCGACTAAAACAAAATTCAATATGACATTTTATTTTTGTAAACATTAAGGTGATAATATATTAGATTGATTTGAATTAAGTTATTAAACATGTGGGCTGGGTCATGAACCATATTAGTTTTAATAAGTTTATTTTTTAAAAACTATTCTTTATTTAGTTATGTAATAACAACAAATAAATTAAATTAAATTAAAAAAATAGTTAATTATGATGGGCTATAAAAAAGAACACCCATTCATATTCTAAAGAGATTTCTATAATCTTATTCAATAATGTAAAAATTAAATGAAATTTAATAAAATAATATATTAAATATATTCTTCATTAATCTAATAATTGTAAAAATATATACCAAATATATTTTAAATTATTTTATTTTTAATAATTCAAGTTAATTGTTAGGAAAGGAAAAAAAAAACAATAAAGAATAAGATATACGAGCTTGAAAAACCCAGCATGTCTACCCCACTAAAAATAAGCCTAGGAGTTTAAACCTTTTAAGTGAAGGTCCACATGCTTATTTCTTTTATTTGGATAAGTGACCCATCATCCACTTGATTATTTTTTTAAAAAGTAAACAATATATCATCTACTAGTTAGAATCCTAACATTACAAAGATGACTTAAAAATCAAGCAGTTTTTTTTTTCACTCTAAAATTTATTTTTAAACAATTTTCACCTAAAAAAATAATAAACATCCTTAAAACCTCAAAAAAATCTATCAATCCAAAAAAAAAAACTCAAAAAATGGTCTAAAAAAGCAAAATCTAATTAAGAATGAAATTTATTTTTCAATCTTGATTTATCTTTTCCAAGCAAGATAAGGATTTAAAAAGATCTCAATGAGATTTTTCTTATTAAATGAGACCTATTAACACAAACATCAATAAGTTCTCTTGTGAAAAAATATTTTGTTAATTAACTTTCTCTCACCTTTGTTCTAATATGGTGACTCTCACTACTTTCTCAAAGTTAAGGAATGAAATGTGAATAAAATAAATTTTTGGACTAAATCATATAATTTGCAAATTTTAAGGATTGAAATAAAGATTGATCAAAATCTCAAGCTTAAAGGCATTGACACTCTTTTGTTTTTTTTTAAATAGTTGTTATCAACCAAGTTTTCATTTTTGGTCCTCTTATCTTTAATTTATTACAAACAAGAAAACTTTAATTTTTTTTTTTGGTAAAATTAAGAATCAATTCAATACCAAGATATTTATTTAAGACCATGATAAATTAAAAGAAAGCAATACAATACAAGCTATCAAATCAAATTATGCAACATGAAAAGATGAAATTAAGAAACATGTTTAAACCAAAAAATAAATTATTCATTTTTTCTAAAATAAAGTGTTGCCACTCCACCTTGCTTTCAATTTTAGTCCCCTCATTCTTAAATTATTGCAAACAACTAAAGTATTTTATTTTTTTTGCAAAATCAAAAAACAATATAATGTTGGAAAATTTATTTGAAATAAAAATAACCCAACAAATTCCAAAACGAAATAAATCATCAAACCCAAACCCAATCACCAATCAATACCATGTTGAAAAAAAAATCAAAAACCAAAAAAAAAAACATAATTAAAGACCAAAACAATTGGAAAACATTGTTCGCATCCTCTTTGTTTTTCATTGAATACTTATCTTATTTAGAGAGATTGTAATTATAATACAAGGTGATTTTACATGTAACTATAGTAATACTTTTTAAATTTAATGAGGCATTCAGAGACTTCTACTTGCTTTATCGACTACCTCAAACCTCTTAGTCATCTTTTATTGATTCAATTGACACGTGTAAGCTTATTTTAGATTTAAACAAAAGGCAACAATGATGAACTGAAATGCTTAAACACAACAAATAGCAAGAATTCAGACCCCATGCATATAAGTGAAACATGGTCTCAAGATCTTCAATATCAGTCGTGTTTATCAAGAGTGAAGAAATGCAAAACTGGTCTTGGTCTAAAGAAAAGATGCTACATGGAAGGCTATCCTTGAGAAATTGAACCCAACAATTACAGAAGGCTCTTTATAAACAACCAAAACAAAAACGCAACCGCTCGAAATTTTTCTCATACATTGTGCCAATACCGAATCAAGGATCTTGTAAGGACCATTCAAGATCCAGGTTTTGAAAGATGATAGAAGCAACACTGAGATTCTATCACTGCTGTTATTGAAATAGCTCAAATTAGGCCCGCTTTCAATGGCGCTTCCTTCCACCACCTTTTTTCTTTCCCTTGTTCTTTTTGCCACTGTGCTTCTTCCCTTTGCTGACCATATGACTGCTAGAACCATCATCTCTCCTTTTGCCACTGTGCTTCTTCCCTTTGTTGAACATATGACTGCTAGAACCATCATCTCTAGATGACGCTCGACTCAACAAATGCTTCACATCAAGTATGCCATTTTTAAAATGACCTTCAGTTGACCTCAGCACCCTGTCCTCAAGTTTGCGCTTCTCGACTGTTCGTCTAGCACCACTACCACCTCCAAATCTTCCAAGAACCATATTCTAAAATGTAGAATAGTTACAGTCAGAGCAATAAGATTTGTACAATCAGATCAATCATAAATTAGAAAGGTCATGGAGAATCAACCTCTTGTTCCCTCATTTCAAGCATTTTCTGTTCTCTTTCCTTTTGTTTCTTCATTTGCACACGGGCTACACTTAAAGGTAGTCTTTGCTTCTTAGGAGGCTGTGTTCAGGACAAAGTGCAGGACTATATTCATCAAGCACCATATGGAAGAAGGATACTCCATAATAAAAAATATCTACTATATTAAATACAAAGTGACGTGATTGGTGCTCATAGAGATTTTACCTTTCCACCGAGAGAGAGTACTTTATGGTTTTCTAATTCTTTCCTCTCTTTCCATGTCATATGCGAGGCACCTGGGAGACAAAACATTATAGTAACAAAAGCACTACAAAGTTTCTTAGTTGTAAATACAAATTCAAACAATCACAATAAGATGCAAATGAAGAACCAAAAAGATAGAAGCACATCCCAATGAATGGCACAAACTTAAACAGATCAATATTTATTGCTTCCAAGTTTGAATTAACAGCAGAAACATGACCACAATCAAAGCCAGATTCAGCAACTTTTTACCATATGATGCAACCTAATTTTCCTCTGGCTATAACACTAGATAAAAAAAAATTTCACAATGCACTGAGTCCATTTTATATGCCCAAAAGAAGAACCCATACAATTATGACGAATGGTGGCAAAAGAATACAATGCACTGTTTAACAAAATATTGTATTCCTTGTGGCATGATTAAAACTGGAAGCTGTAGCCCATCATTTAGGTCTGAACAGTAGAACAAGCAAGTTAAAAAAATTAGCAGGTGATGAAACATCCTCTTTGCTTCTCGTCACACATGAATAACAGATCAATCATCTCAATCATCAAATTATGCAACCAAACCCACTGAACCCAATGAAACGACATTGTTCCAGGTTCTACAAAACAGAAAGGAGCTTCATCTTATTAGCTCCTTCATCCAATTTGGATTTTATTGAGTCTGAAAGAAAAAACAAATAGACTTGGAGCCTGAAACTAGCTGCTTCAAAAATAGCACACAACTCCAATGTTGCCTGAAAAAAAATACAGAACATTATGCATTTAAAATAAAGAAACATGTAGGGAAAGGGATTCCACCATGAGAGGGAAAGGGAAATGAAATTCTGATCAGAAGATGTGGGCTTTGATGTTAGGAAGCTCAAAACTCTCACATTGCCAAATGCTACTACAAAGGTGTAATAGGGTAGTCTATGACACCATATAACTCTACGTTTCCAATCTCTTTGTCAATAAGTTTTACACTGTATTCTCTAAAAAAACGTTGCCATTGTAAATATATTCTCGAAAGCTTGAAATCCACTTCAATCAATTGATGCACTGTAATAGCATTGTGGAAAATCACAAGGCAGCAGTTTAAACACCCAAGAGCAACTTCAAAACAAATCATTGCACTATTCCACATAAGCAAACTCTTCAATCTCATCTCATCTCATCTCCTCTCAATTCCTGCAAGAAATTCCTAACCTCAAACCGACAATTCCTAGATAGCCCCTAACTCATCCTACAATCCATCATCACACAACTTTCTCGTAGATACATAAAGTATAATTATAATGCAGCAGATAGCAAACACTGAAGAACAAATTTGTTTTAAAAAACGGTGAGAATAAAAACAGGAATAAAAAAAGAGTAATTACTGAAGAACTCGATATCTTTCATAATCTTCTTGATGTCCCATTCTTGATCCTTGTCATCCATGTCGCCACTTCCACTTCCACTTCCACTTCCAGCTGTTTGATTTTTCTTCTTCATAGCTTTTTTATTCACTCTCTTTCTTACTTGGTTTAGCTGCAAAAAGAAAGAAAATAGGTCAGAAACTCTGCCAAAGCATAACTACATACAAAAACTCAGATATGTACCTGCGAATTTAGATTTTAGGGTTTAAAGCGGGCTTTTAAAACTAATTTGATGTTCGATGCCTGAGAGAATTTTTATTTTGTGCGTTTAGGGTTAGATAAGTACGGACAGCCAGGAGCAAAGAATAGGGGAAACCTCAACTTACTCCTAAATCTATATACTCATTCTGAATTGCATCCCAAACTTATTAATTTTATCAATTAGACCCCAAATATCTCAATATTTCTCAACTGTGTCCTCTGATTAATTTTATTTTAATAATTTATGTTTAATATGCATGTTTTTTTGCATTTCAATGGTGTTGATTTAAAAAAAAATAATGAGCATTAATATTTCTAGTATAATTTGCATATTTATGCACTAAAACAACATTAATTTGAAAAATGTTGATGAACATCACAAAAAGACTTGGGAAGAATTTATTAAATATTTATGATTTTATTGATCAAATTAATTGACTTGGAGTTTAATTGAGAATTAATATATGAAATTTGGGGCCCAATTAATGTTTTTAAAATCCCAATATACGGTTCTAAATTGGCTTCTAAATTATTCCAAAAGATAATGGAAAGGAAGAGTCCAATAGCAAATTTGCAACTTATACATTTCAAGGTAAAAATACCAAGTCATTATATAAATATATATCAATTACTAAATTAAAAAAAAACTATTTTGACATTATTTGAATAACATTCTACGGTAATACATGCGTATTTGGGTGATGCTGGAATGGCACGGTGGTCATCCTAGAAAGGTTTAAATATTATTGGTTGTATAGACATTAAATCAAATTAAATTAAAAAAAACAAATACTAAAACATTTAAGGTTCTTTTAAGGTATTTCAATGAAGCATTTATATCTATATATTTGTGTTTATACATTTTTTGTCCTTTCTTTTTTATTTTTGTATTTCTAATACAATCTTTAACTTTATAGAGTGGAATTAGGTCCAAAAATATTTTAATTGAAAATAACTAAAAGTATGATGATAAAATTAGAGAGGGGCTTATCTTCTTCTTTATAGAGTGGAATTAGGTTCAAGAATATTTTAATTGAAAATAACTAAAAGTACAATGATAAAATTAGAGAGGGGATTATTTATTTATTAGAAATACAAAAATAAAAAAGAAAGGACAAAAAATGTAAAACATATAAAATTCATGATTATTTCCAAATTATCAACATTTTTTATCCGAAAATTTATTTTATTTATTTTTTAATTCTGGGTACAGAGAGGAGAGAAAAACTCATTTAAAAACAATAAAAAAATAGAGAGAGTTGTTGATTGTCATAATTCTAATGATAAAAAAACAACGATTTTGATGTTAATAGATTTTTTTCGATTAGAAGAGTTTGATGCTGATGGTTGTTAGTTTTTATCTTGCTAAAAAAAGGCTTGGTAATTTGTGATTTTGAGTTTATTTTTTAATTTTTAGGTGAAATGTTTTTCATATATTTTAAGGCTATAAATATGTTTATTGAGGTTTGTCATAGCACAATTTTAGGTTCCTTAAAACTATTATTATTTTATTAAATAAAATAATGTAAAAGAGAAGAGTTTGAAAAATAAAAATAAAAAAATGTAGGAGGCTAGTGACTTAGTTGACAAAAACATATTAAAGAGGAATTTAAATGCATAAATAAGAGATAAAGGGACAAAATGGATCATTGATAATATTGAAAACTCAATTGCACCATTAAAGAATCTAAATGTGAAAAGACAATGCAAACTCAAGGTTATTTTAAGTGAATATTAAATGAATTTGCAAGAAAAATAATTCTAAGAATGTAAGTAGATTTTAATAGGTTGATTTGATTTAATCATAGGTCTAATTAAAAGACTTAATTAAGTTTGAAAATCAATTAAGGCTAAAATTAAAAATATTAATTAAGTGCACAAACTTAATTAAACTTTTAATGGGTCAAATTAATTTTATTAAAGACTTAATTGGTAATAAATTAAATTTAGAAGCCTAATTTTAGTTTAATTGAGAAGATTAGAACTTTGAAGAATCAAATTTAATTTTTACAAGCTTAACCGGATTCAATCAAGGACTCAATTAAAAAAAATCAAGTTTGGAAGCGTTATTCAGATTAGGGACACAATTGAAATTTAAAAAGGTAAAATTGATACAATTAGGAGTTCAATTGAAAGAAATTTAAAGATCGAATGCTTATTGAGAATCAAATTAAAAAATTTCAAAACCAAGAACCAAAGTGCATAAGGTGCCTGAGTTCAATGACTGAAATTAATCACATCAAGGGTATACTTGAAAAAAATTAAAAGTTTAATGGTTAATTGAGGTTAAATTACAATCTGAAACTAATAACCAAAGAGTAAAAAACACTCAACTCAAAAGATTTAAATCTAGGTTTTTAGGGGTGAAATTACAATAATTGAGAAGTTTCAGAGTCAATTGAGAGGGTGTGTACATTGAAATTGACAAAACAGGGACCAAATCAAAATATCCCAATTAAAAATCCCTAATTTTTAGGTTGCATATTGATTAGTACTTAAAAGTGCATTTTTATCATGGTTTTATATCATCATTTTGCACTTAAAGTATCAATAACTCCTTAACTAAA